ACATGCCCCAAAAACAATTCAAAAGTTTTTAGCAAAGTACAAAAGGACCAAAAAAATAGCAAATTTATTTCAGTCCAGATATACTCCCACTTTAAAAAAGCAAGAAAAAACCACTATTCTAAAAAAAGTGTTGAAGGAAAGACAGATGCCCCTGCTCAAAATTGTGAAGGATTTAAATATTCAATGCAATGTGCAGACCATAGCTAGAACCCTACACAATGCTGGGCTTCATTCTCATGTTGTTGCCTTGAAACCTTTCTTATCACTAAGCAATATAGACAGATAAAAAGATTGGTATAATCAACATAAAGATAATGATGCTTATTATTGGAGGTGTATCATTTTTTCTGATGAAATAAGTGTAGAAATTAGTAATAATCCTGCTAAGTTCAAGTATAACATTGTGTGAAGAAAGATATAAACATAAATATTTGCAACTAAATTTTAAGAGTGGGATGGCTTGATAATAGTTTGGTTATATTATGTGGATATGATTAAAGGACCTATGTTTTTTTTGATGATTACAATGGTCCCAAGGGAAAAATTATTAAAAAAAATTTATACTAAGGTTTTAGATGACCACCTTGTACTGTTTATACCTGCTGCTCATTCATTACTTGACTCCTATCCAATTTTTCAGTATGATAATGCCCCCTGTTCACAAGGTATTGGATTGGTTAAAATCAAAAAATAGATTATATGAATTGGCCTTCATAATCCCCTGACCTAAACCCCATAGAAAATAGTTGGAGGATTGCGAAGGACAATATTCAGAACTGTAATGACTTCCCCTGTGATAAATCTGCACTTAAAGTTGCCCTAATGAAGGCATGGTCAAATTTGGATATGTCGATTCTTTATATAGTTTTAGACTCAATGACACAATGAACTGAGACAATTGCAGATGCAGATGGTTGTTCATCAAAATATTAAAAAAAAATAAAAAAAAATATATGATGTATATGTGGTCAAATTTTTATTAATAAAAATTTTATGTTTTGAGCAAAAATCGGGCATTACTTTGTTGGCTACTGTACATATGATACTTTATCAATTATGCACACATATGCATAGATATTATGTAATTGCATTGCAAATTGTAAACAAACCAAAAATGTCACCCCATTACCAATAGATTAATTGGCATCCACATCATAGAAAAGGTTTATTTGGCACCGTTATCCCCAACTATGTGGATTTCAACTATGCAAATCACGATGGATCATTTCTTGAGAATGAATTGCTTCAAGATCAGTGACAATGCAATGAAGTAAATTAAGCTTTTTTTTCCCATTCTATTTGTGACACATTGGAAAGATTTTGACATAAAAAACCTCTAAATGCATATTTCAACACAATTATATATCTTCCATCTGGATGTTTTGATGTTTTATAGCATTGTAAGAATAAAGGATTTTCATATCTGATTTCACAAAACCTTTTCAACTATTGAGATTAAATAATTATTAGTTTAAGTTTTTTAAAACATAAAACTTCATTGATTTACCTCGCTCATAAATTCTTGATAATAGTTTTCAGGATTATTAATTACTTTGAGTGTAATGCCAATTATAGCATTTTGTCTTTATCATACCAACTAGCACTGTATACAGTTACAAATCCACTATTGCCTATCCACTTAATGTTTTCAAATTCTTTATAGAAAATCTATTATAACTGATATCTCTCATCAGTGAGTATCAAGATCAGGAGAATATGATGATTTAATTATTTCTTAAAAATATTTTAAATTAAATTAGTTCTAGCTAGATAAAGAATAAACAAAAAAAAAAGTACATACTCTTTATACTTCATTCTCTATTAGAATTTAAAAATTAATAAAATCAATTGAAAAAGTTTTCTAATAAAATATTTATTTACAATTTATACCAATCATTGGCATGTTGTATGTTTCTTACAACTCCAATTACATTTCGATAACAAAATCCAACTTGATTTATTGCAGTGGCATTACCCAAATCCACAGATTTCTGGTAATATTTGAATGCCTTATATTCAACTCCAATTCCATTACGATAACAATCAACTTGATATATCGATCAGCATTATTCATATTAGCAGATTTCTGGTAATACTCAAATGTCATATATCTATTATTTTTAACTCCTATTCTACTTTGATAACAATAGCCAACCGCATACATTCCTTTAGCATTACCCATATCAGCCGATTTTTGGTAATATTCAAACACCTCCTTTTCATCTTTTTCAATTCCAATTACATTTTGATAAAGGCATCCGAGTTTTAATTCTCTAATCAGTATAGTTATAAAAATTTTATTTTCTGTTAATAATTAATGATAACTATGTAAATTAATCTATACTCACTGACTGATAGTTTAATACATACATGAATTAACAGTGTTACTCCTGTCACTTGACTAATTTTTTTTTGTTTTCTTTTTCAGTTTGGCTTTGGTGTCACCAATCTATACTTTATTTATTAAACTATATATTAGTTATCCATTTCCTTATTTGAATTTTCTATATATATCTATCATTATTACTATATTTGGTAAGTCAAGTTTAGAAGTCTATAATAGTGCGATATTATTAACATGATCGACATCGATTGTCGAAATGGACCAGTACAAGCCTATGTCTCACCGACTTGTACAGCACAACAAATTTCCAAAACTTGGTCCAACGGTTTCGTGAAAAGACCAATGAAGCATCCTCCACATTCTTGAATTGACTTGTTAAAGGAAGTTACTGCGTCCAACCATAACAATGTGTCTGAATCATATGATTCACACATGAATTGTTTATGTTCATCTAAAGATGAATGTGAAGCATTTAAATATGGGCGCCAAGACGTCTGTTTATACACACCCTGTCTAAATTCATTAAAAAGACGGATGTGAGATATTTTAACATTGTAACAATTATTTGAAAAGGGTTTATTGGTGAAGAGAAAAGTTGGAATTATAAATTAGAATAGATAGAATATTCTGTCAATAAGGTAGTTTAAAGAATTTATATAGATCAAGGATATATTTAAAGGCTAACTTTCTGACCTTCAATAAAGACTTCTCAGACTTTGTTCTCGAATGTTTTTCTCTTGTCTTATATAAAATTTGAGGCTGATTGAAGCCTAGCATAAATTATGCACTGTATTGTAAACCCCACGCTCTTGTCAGCATTAAGTTATCTTAATGCGTGTTTGTTATTTTTATTTTCTTTTGACTTTCTTATATATCTTTGTGAATATATCTTCACAAGTAACCTTGTAATAATACGTGAACACATCTTCACGTTTACACATATAATATATTGTACTAACCCCAATACCCCATCATGCTTTAAATCAATCCCATCCTATTTTGGATTGTTAACAATTGACAATCAGGATTGATTAGATCATCTGCATTACCCATATCCTGATATGTATCCCTTAACATTAACCTCACAGCTCCCCTTCCCTATTTGAATAGACCTGGCCAGTTTCATATCGGCAACGATACTCGCTAACCCAATACTCCTTCCTTGATTTTCTCATACTATAACTAGATGCCTTTTTGCCCTTTTAAATTATTTTTGGTTCACTATCCTGAGACAAACCAGCACTGTATCACCTGACACTTTCCCAAACTGATAGTAATATTTGGAGGATTGTGTGGAAGCTATACACCTGTCAGTTTTCAGAATGTATAAACAATTTTGACCAACACTTAAGAATATTACTGAACATGACCGCCATTATTATCTTTTCGGAAAGACACCTCAGGCGATCGATTATTTGTCCAAATATTACCAGGACGATTCCTGCACTACTTGTTACCTGCCTCAAGAACCTATGCCTCGTTTTATTACTTTCTGGATGTGATTCAGCACCTTTCAACTGGCCAAATCTTACTCACAACACGCCTTAAGACATTTTGAGAAGCTCAGTAATTTCAAAATTCATCAAATCCCTGATCAGCTATTACGCTGCTTCATCTTTAGTTTTAGATATAACGAACGTCCTGACAATTTTCCAACTCTAGTAAACTAGTTTTTAACAGCATACCAAGAGACTAACCAGTTTGCTGTAGACTCTTTAGCCAATGTATATAATAGTGAAACTTTCGAAGAAAATCTCCAAGACGAAAATATGGCCCAAGACAATAATCAAAACCAAGTTCCACTTCTCATTGACCCAGATGATGATAATGTAATCAATTAATCTAACCAACCCATCCAGCCCATCCCAATACTTCAGCATAACCACTTCGTCAATCAAAACCAAGACAACATTCAAAATGATCCAGTAACTCTTCTTGCTCAACAAATTGGGGCTCTGGTAATGCATATACAGTATGCCCTGGTACTACAAATTAACATCTCTGCCATTAATATGGTTGCACAAAATTGGGAACTTAATCTGGTGTCGTACTCAGATTTTTTTGGTGGTGAGCAGAACCCTATTAGCTGGTTGGAGGATTTAGAAAAAGCTTTTGAAGCCAACCAAGTGCAAGACCAGCGTAAAATACCTGTAGTAATCCCCACTTGAAAGGCACGGCAACTATATGGTGGGTCAATGCTCGAAATGTCAATTCCATCAATCGATGGAATGACCGTGACCACCAAAACCAAAGTTTTCGACCCCAGTTCATTGCTCAGTTTCGGACTCCAGCCCTTGAGAGCAAGTGGTTTGCTCAGTTGACCCAGCGAAAATAAGGCCCAGTAGAAGACGTCGATTCCTACCACGTATCAATTGAAGAGCTGCTTCGATGGGTCGAGTCGGGTGGTCATCGATATACTGATACAGCTAAGGCCCAGATGTTCATTAACGGCCTATGACCAGAACTTGCAACTTCTGTTGCTTCCTTTATGTCTAACTCTTTAGCAGCTGCCTATGAAAGAGCAAAAGCTTTTGAAAACTCTTTTAAGCAAAACCCTCTTAGTTATAACCCCTACCTATCTTATATACATCCGGCTTATATTGGAATTGTGTCCACCCAAGCCCCAACAAGTTTGTCTCCCGCAGGTCACCTAACAATGGTTGCTGCTTTGCCCCCAGTCCCCAAGCCGGAAGATCCACTTGTCAAATTTACTGAAGCCCTTACAACAATGATGACAAGACTACAGAAGAACCCAACAATTGGAACAATGCCAACAGATTCAACTGTAATCGTTGTGGACAGGCAGGACATTATGCTCTAATCCGCCTCCACTAAATCCCAGAAATAATGTAGCAACAGGAGCTAAGCAACCCCAATTGGACAAAATAATGTAGTTCACAATAACCTACCACTAAATAATAATAATGGACAGCCACCTCAAAACGGAGGCAATGAAGCACAGACATTCCTGAACATGCATGAAGAGGTTATAGATCCTTTGTTTTTCCTAGCTAAAGAAATTGACAAGCCAGCACAACACACTCACAGTAAAAAGAGGCGTGTTGAAGAAGAGGCCTCTGAACCACTTGAAATCTACCAAGAAACCCAGGTACCTGTCACCACGGTCCCCCCAGGAATCCAAGACTACTAAAGAAACCAAAACAACCCCGCCAGGAGGAAAAAGGTTGAAAACGATCCACCCCAGATTTCAGCCTTGGTCCCTCAGTACTCGATTATGGCTGATATCAGAGATAAGCCAGCCAACATAACCGTGAGACAGTTACTAAGGGCAGTTCCATCTATGAGAACTGAACTTTCAAGGGGCCTACAGAAAAAGAAAGCTCTGGTGAAAAAGAAAAAGGCTAAAACTTTTGATAATCTCAACCCCATTCCCGAAGACCGTGTATCGTGCAGGTCCTTCTACCGGTTTTATTATTCACACAGGTAATAGTTTTTCACTAAGTTTGGTTTTTACTAAGCCAACAAAGCTTAAAATAGCTTACAACTTCCAAAGCTTGGTTCTTTCCCTTTTGGGATCGATACCTATTATTACTAATCGCTATTCAGTGTCACTGATTATTACATATTATCTCATCGCTTATGCAATCAATTATTTAAGCTTTTAATTATTTCCCATGCATAACCCCGAATCACGCCATTCATACAAATTGGGATCATGACCCGATCATGATCCCTGACCCTAACCTTTGCGCTACGAATATCCGGAACCACGACAGGAGCTAGATCCCCCGGAACTTTCGTCCCCAAAGTTCCAATCTACAATTAATTCGTAGTACAACACAACAAGCAATACTAATGCAAAGTCCCATTAAATAAAATGCATACATACACTAACACAGAATTTTTTTTTTTTTTTTTTTTTTTTTTACTAAGCTACTATAATGTTCTATCAGCACCACCCCAATCCCGAATTGTCTTCACCAAACCCTCCATCATCAAATCGATCCTGATAATTTTATTCAACGGTGCTTCCATTACAACTACCAGCTCAATCTGATAACTATTTTCAATATTGTTTGCTCCATTACTTACAGATATCTTATGTTCATCCTTTTCATTACGAATTCCATTCGAATCATCCATCGTTGTTCTACCATCTGAGCTCGATCCCCTATCATCGCTAACTTTGAATTCATCGGCAGATTTTATATTTCCCTCAAATGCCCTTTTTTCATTATTTCGATGTTGTGCAACATTAATCGTTCCAGAAACGTTACCCATATCATTTGATTTTTGATCATAATTGAATGCCTTATGTTTATCTTTTTCAACATTAGCTTCAATAGCTCTTGATTTAATCATTTTACCCTTTTCAACATTAATTTCATCCAAATTAACCTTCGTCGCTCTACCAACTGAGCTAGATCTCCTGGAGCCTTTAGGTTTGTTTTTTACTTTCTTTTTCTCTTTACCTTGACAATTTATACTACCATTTATTAACCTTTTCCCCTTTGATTTATTTCTTTTTGCACTTTCACGCTCCTCCACACCTATACCATCTAATTTCACACACCTCACATCAGTTATTTCCAGGCACTCAACTAAACTTCCATTTCCGAATTTTCGAACCGGACAATCACGTGCCAAGTGTCCTGGTCTTCGGCACTCATAACATAACCTTGGACGATGCGGCTTGTATTGGTGAAAATTGTATTTTTGAACTCTATTTTGGCTTTGCACAGCCCTATTTAACGCTAAACTAACATTTTCCATAATCTCCTTTATGGGTTTCATAATCTCTTGGATTCACTTTTCTAATGCCAATTTCATTCCACACATTTCATCGTCCGTATGTCCATATTTCTCCTCAATTGATTCGTCAGAACCATCGTTTAACATTTCACTAGCCTTTTTCCTATAGTATTCGCTTTGCTTTATGTATACTTCAATCTTCAAAGCAAACCTTTTTATGTCTTCGTAGGTCTCAGGGCAATTATAATGAACTTTTTCTCTATATTTTTCATCCAGCCCTCTCACGTACATCTCGTTCAATTCGGCTCTCCGATGGACTTGTCCTTTTACTGTTGATGTCTGGGCTTTGAATCGGTTCATATAGCTTAGTATCGATTCCTTTTTTTACCTTGCCTTATATGAGCTAACTTGTTTAGCTTTATCTCCCCGTCATATAATGTCTTTGAACTCCTTATCAATTTCAACTTCAATTCGGCCCAACTTTTGGTTGTCCGTATCATCTCCCTTATCCACGGCCTTAGCTTCTCAGAGACATGGTGGCTTACCATCATTCTCATACAGACTTCACTCCATCTCTTGGATATGGTGTAAGCCTCGAAATCGAATAAAAAATCGTCTATACTCTCTTTACTGTTACTATAATAAAATGGTACTTGGAGATCGGCGTTTTTCATTGTATCCTTTTTACTTAAGTTAAATGTCTGTTTTTATTACACTTATCATTTACTTTCACGAAGACTTTCGTTTTTCTTTTATCCTCCAATAATACGTTTCACTCAGTTTTCACTAAGACTTTTGCTTTAATTAACAGTTAAATCACACAGCCGATGATAGTATTCTTTTCTATTGTCCGAATTTTTTGCAAGTAGACTTTCATCTGCCCAGGTCCTTCTGTCAAGTAGCTTCCCGATACTACCTGTATTGGTGGGTCTTTACCTACTAACTTCACTCACTTGACTAATCTTTCCGAAGACCGTGTATCGTGCAGGTCCTTCCACCGGTTTTATTATTCTCACAGGTAATAGTTTTTCACTAAGTTCGGTTTTTACTAAGCCAACAAAGCTTAAAATAGCTTACAACTTCCAAAGCTTGGTTCTTTCCCTTTCAGGATCGATACCTTATATATTATTACTAATCACTATTCAGCGTCACTGATTATTACATATTATCTCATTGCTCATGCAATCAATTATTTAAACTTTTAATTATTTCCCATACATAACCCCGAATCACGCCATTCATGCAAATTGGGATCATGACCTGATCATGATCCCTGACCCTAACCTTTGTGCTACGAATACCCAGGACTACAACATATAGGATTGGCCTCTTATTATCACTGGTTCATAAAAGACTTTTCAAGTGTGGCAGCCCCACTCAACTTATTGTTGAAAAAGAACGCTAAGTATTCATGGACTGGTGTACAAGAGAAAGCTTTTGCAACCCTTAAAGAAAAATTAATTACCACCCTAATCCTGGCCTATCCTGACTTTGATAAAGCATTTATACTCTTTACAGGCGCCTCTGGGACTGCTCTAGAGGCTATACTCTCCCAAAAAGACTCTCAAGATAAAGAGAGAGTCATCCATTATGCCAGTCGATCTTTAACTCCCACCGAGAAAAATTACTTGGCAACTGAGCAAGAGTGTTTTGCTGTTATATAGGCCATCACATATTTCTGCCAATATCTTCATGGAAGTTGCATCACCCATTCAGCTCTTAAGTCATTGCTGAAAAATACTTTACTAAGAGGACGTCTAGCCCATTGGATTTTATCACTACAGGAGTATGACTTCGTTGTGGTCTATCGGCCTGAAAAGCAGCACTCCAATGCTGATAGTCTTTTCCGATTAATTTCATCCAACTCTCCATCTGAGTATCATTGTTGTCCACATTGTCTTGCCCCCTATACTTCTAAAACTACCTCTTCTATTAACCAAGATCCTATGCTATACTTGCAATTTTGACTTTCAAAAATTGACAACACCCCTATTTCATAACCAGATTATTATATCCATTTTTCATTATATTCCTTGTTCTGACCTCTTTTATAATCTTAAACATGGAACCAACACAATATCAAAGATACATCAAGTTTCTCAGTAACCCTAGTTACCTCACATCTTTAAAAATTAAAGAACATAGATTATTAAAACAACAGACCCGCCACTTCACCATTATCAACAAAATTTATATAAAAGACACCGACTTCTGCCACATAGACTTCTTCGAGTCTTATTGCCCCATGAAACTAAACCAATTATTTTCAGCATGTATTCGAATCTGTTATCAGGACATTTCAATGTCCTCTTAACCCTACAAAGGATCTCTATTCGATATTTCTGGCCCCAGATGGGCAATATGTCCAGTCATGTGATGTTTGTTAACGAAGAGGCAGACCCAAGTCTCGAGAACCATTATACCCTATTAAGCTAGGGCAGCCTTTTGACTGAGTCGAGATTGACATTGTTGGTCCTTTGACTCCCACTAAATCCAGCAACAAGTATATTGTAGTTGCCACAGAATACCTTACTAGATAGCCAGAAGCACAAGCCTTGTCAGACACTTCAGCTTTCGTAGATGGCTTCGTTCTTTATAGAAGATATTATTTGTCGCCACAGAAGTCCCCGAGAACTCCTTTCTGATCAAGGAAAGCATTTTGACAATTATCTAGTAAAAGCTATCTGTACCCAACTACAGATGCACCATTGATTTTCATCAAGTTACTATCCACAGACTAATAGATTGGTGGAACATTTCAACGCACTCTCTGTGAAGTCTTAGCTAAATGCTCAATCTAGTTCTTTGGTGATTGGGATTGATATTTGTCCCCAGCTCTCTTTGCGTATAGGACCACAAAACATTCTATTACCTGATATGAGCCTTTTTATCTCTTGTATGAAAGAGAAGCCATTCTCCCAAAAATTCCCTGGTTAATGATCAAGAACTCATGAATAATATTATGAGAAGAATTGATGTGTTGTTAGGAGATTTGCCTGTGGTGCAAAGAGAAGTCAGAGAAAAGACTACTAAGGCCCAACAGTAACAAAAAGACTGTTATGATCAATAGTTCATAATAGAGAGTTATTCTATTGGAGATAAGGTCCTTAGGTTTTGTTCAAACCTAGAAGAAACTCACAAGGGAAAATTGGAAGAAAGATTGGAAGGTCTCTTTTTCATTCACGATGTTCTTGGAAAAGGCGCTTACAAACTTAGGACCCTTGGTGACAAGGTTGGAAACAAAGAGCCTATGGGAATCATCTAAAACGATATTATGATCAGCCTGAAGGTAATACAGAATAGTGCTCCTATGAACCGGTTTATGAACTAGTTCAATATCAAAAATAAAGAAAAAAGTAAAAATTACAAAAATAAAAATACTTATATCTCATGATCTACTGTGTCAATTTTAACATTTTAACCACCATTCTGTTCCCAAGACACTCCTCTACAACTTTACTTAAGCGTTGAAAAGAGGTTTACTTAGTAAAGAAAAAAAAATTTTCTTTGAGAAACTCCAAAGTTGAAAAGTTTCTTTCATAATAAAAATTTTAAATTTTAACTAAACCATTTTCTTTACTAAGTAAACCTATTTTTAACTTCTAACAAAAGTTGTAGAGGAGTATCTTGCAATCAAAATGGTGGTTAAAAATGTTAAAATCGGCCCAGTAGATCGCGAAATATAAGTATTTTTGTCTTCGCGATTATATGATTTCTTCTTCTTTCTTTATTTATATTATAAATAAAGAAGAAAGAAGAAGAAAGTATATACTCGCAAAGACAAAAATACTTATATTTCGCGATCTACTGGGCCGACTTTAACATTTTAACCACCATTTTGATCGCAAGATACTCCTCTACAACTTTTGTTAAAAGTTGAAAATAGGTTTATATAGTAAAGAAAAATGGTTTAGTTAAAATTTAAAATTTTTATTATGAAAGAAACTTTTCAACTTTGGAGTTTCTCAAAGAAAATCTTTTTTCTTTACTAAGTAAACCTCTTTTCAATGCTTAAGTAAAGTTGTAGAGGAGTGTCTTGGAAACAGAATGGTGATTAAAACGTTAAAATTGGCCTAGTAGACCATGAGATATAAGTATTTTTATCTTTGTGATTATATGCTTTCTTCTTTATTTTTAACATTGAACTAGTTCATGAACCGGTTCATAGGAACACTAATACAGAACCAGATCATCCCTCACAGGAGCTCGGAAATTCAGAAAGGGAGTCTGTTACTCCCATCACTTGACTAATTTTTTTTTTGTTTCCTTTTTCGATTTGGCTTTGGTGCCACCGATCTATACTTTATTTATTAAACCTATACATTAGTTATCTATTTCCTTATTTGTATTTTCTATATATATCTATCATTATTTCTATATTTGGTAAATCGAGTTTAGAAGTCTATAGTAGTGCAATATTATTACAATCTGGGATTTTTCCATATTTGGATAGCATTAATCGCACTATTTTTAGTATAGGATCAATAATCAGATGATTTTAGATGTATCTGTTACACAAAGCCTATATTACTATATTATAGTAAATCACTCAATTAATAACAATTTGTGTAGACAGAAAAAAATATCAAACTTAATCGTATCAATCTAATTGCTTTTATTTACCAATATTTCTGTATTCAACTTTTATATATTTTTATGGCACTACTAAAGTGCTCCTATGGTGTTATTTATTTTTTATATATATGCCGATTATGTAACAAATATGCCTATGAAAATTGTTCGGAAAATTGAAATTATTCGATTTTTTGTTTGAAAAATCAACTCCGTTCCAAACATTTTAAAGGATGTTTGTTGAATATATAGGTTTTAATACACTTTTTATACATTTTTTATAGGTTTTTTATATAATAATTTTTAATTAAAAATTTTTTTTTTATGTCCCGTACAAACATAAACCCCTGTTCAAAAATTCGACTCCATTCCAAACAATTCCTGACAATTTTAGGCCAACCCTAACTCTATTCTAACAATATATGTCATTTTAAGCTTATTGCATAACATCCATACTAACACTATCAAAAAACCTAATCTAACCTACTACAATAAGCATAATTCAACCATAACTTCATAACTAACCTTACTATAATCTATCCAAACATCCTAAACATAACCCTAATACTAACCTAAACTACAAGACAAGTCTGCTATTGCGTCAAAAGCTTACCAAAACAACCATGATTTACAAGACTCTCGTTAATTGCACCAACAGACAACAGTAAATGGCATCAGCGCAAGGGATCTAAAAAAAACCAAATCAATATTATCACTAACGTGACAATAGCAAACTACATCAGCATGAAAGGCATAATGAAAGTAAGAAACTCCAAAATGTCAATACGACAAAGCACCATTAGGCAATGACAGACGACACTACAACAACGACACCTACATGCAACGATACCTACAACAACACCTACAACGACACCTACAAGTAACAAAACTGACAAGTAAGACAAAAGTTATCAGAGCAACCTTACACATAGATTAGTAAAAAAAAAAAATGATACAAATAAAAAAAAACTCCCTTATATAGATTCATGTTAAACACCAGAAACTAAAAAGCAGACAGATCTTCTAATTACAGTTACTGTAACTAATTCGCTTATTTTTACTATTTGAATTATTTTTGAACCAATTAACTTGTACCCTTTCAAATAAAAAAAAATAAAAAGTTTAAATGTTAGAACTCTAAAACGTAGTGCGATAATAAAATTTATAAAATAGTTTATCTTAGACCAAATTCGAATATTAAATTGATATAAAAAACTGATCATGCTTGTAAACTAAAACAGCGTGAGTGAATGAAATTATAGTAGTAAGCCAGCACTTTGAATTCAGGTTCCTGTCTTGTCAATAAAGGCCATATTAGAATTTGAAAAAAAGTTAAAATACTAACTTAATAAAAAAATGAATATAAAATTTCTCCGATTTTTGGATCTCATTTACCTTTTTTAAAAGCGTGAATTATAATGAGAGATTGGTGGATTCTAAATCTAAAGACTTTCTATTCAAAACGTATATATCGTTTGACTATGAATGGGTATCATGAAATTGCAAAAAAATTTAGCTATAAAAAGATTATCATGAGCCAATTAAAGCTCAGTATATCATTCTAAAATGTTCTAGAATTGATTTCCATTTTTGGTAAAATCCCGGACTGTATTAACATGATCGATATCGATTGTCGAAATGGACTGGTATAAGCCTATGTCTCACCGACTTGTATGGCAAAACAAATTTCTGAAACTTGGTCCAACAGTTTTGTGAAAAGACCAATGAAGCATCCTTCACATTCTTGAATTGACTTGTTAAAGGAAGTTACTACGTCCAACTGTAACAATGTGTCTGAATTGTATGATTCACACTAGAGTTGGACTCGAAACGAAACCTAACTGAAACTAGTTTCGAAAAGGTTCTAATCCGAAACTAGTTTCAGATTTTCAAAAAAAAACCCGAAACCCGAAACCCAAAACTCCCAAAACTATAATCTGAAAACCCCGAAACCCTAGTTAACCAATCAGAATGCATAATTAAGTATAATATAAATCTAAGCAATTATGATTTTTAAAAATCTGTAGCTATATTTAATAACTCAAAACTTATTAAAGTAATCTAATTAAGTAAAAATGTTTCTCTCGCAATTTTAATCTAACCCAAATTCTAACCCTAATCTAACCCTAACTAAACCCTAACCTAACCCTAACTAAACCCTAACCTAACCCT